TGTGTTTTCAGTCACCTCATATGCATGTGAAAACTGGACAATGAATAAGGAAAACTGAAGAAGAATTGATGTCTTTGAATTATGGTGTGGGCAAAGAATATTGAATATATCATGGACTGAGAGAAGAACAAACAAATCTGTCTTGGAAAAAGTACAGCCAGAATGCTCATTAGAAGCAAGGATGGTGAGACTTTTTCGTACAAATTTTGGGTGTGGTATTAAGAGGGACTACTCCCTGAGAAGGACATCATGCTTGGTAGAGAGTCAGCGAAAAAAAGGAAGACCCTCAACATATGTTGACACAGTTGCTGCAACAATGGTCTCAAGCATAACAACTACTGTGAGTACAGCGTAGGACTGGGCAGTGTGTGGTTTTGTGGCACATCGGGTCACTATGCATTGTAGCCAACTGGTTGGCACCTAACAACAACAACAACAATGAACAATAATTTATTTTTTATTTTTTCCCATACAAAAATTTATGCATACATTATTTTGTGACTCTTATTATTCACTCCATATTGTGACAGCACACTCCTCCCTTCCACCCCCGATTCCCCATGTCCATTCAACTAGCTCCTAACCTTCTCTGCCTTCCCATCTCACCTCCAGACAGAAGATGCGTCTAGTCTCTTGTATCTACTTGAGCTAAGAGACACACTCCTCACGAGTATCACTTCACAATGAACAATAATTTAAAGAAAATGTTGTCTACATCCTAATAACAAATAAAATTCATTATTATCATTGATCTCAGCCTCTGCTCTGTGTTCACATAGGCCACCTGCTCAAATAGATGTTGCAGTTGCACAAGGGACCTTAATGTTAAAGTCACAGAAATTTGGAAAAGATACATTCGATAGGCTTAAAATTGACTCTGGACTATAATAAACCTCATCTTCTTTAGGCAGCCTTCAATGTAAGTAAAATGTTCCTCTTTTTCCAAGTAATCTCCTTATAAGTATCCATTAAGGATTTTTATTTACTTACTTGTTCATTCATCAAATGCTAGGGAAGGTAGAACACCACTGTCCACTTCCCTGAGAAAAATACAAGGCGTACAACTGCTATTTAAAAGTACTTGTAATTAAGAAGCATGATTTAATGCTCTGGAGGAATGTTGAGAAAGATACTCTAGTCTCAGTACTAAGACTAAGCACTTATAAGCTTTAAGGCAAAAAGCTTTATGTGTCTGAGCCCCATTTTTATATAATTATAAAAGTGAAGAGATTATACACCCACTCCTCACTTATCGACATGGTTAGTTTCCAAACAGCAGGTCATTGTGCAAAGTTGGTGTTATGCAAAAATGAGGAATGACCAAATCAAATCATAAAATGGAGGATGACTGCATCATTACGTAACTGCCAAATTAAATCATTACAAAACTGTCAGTTTACATCATTACATAATGACCAGATTACATCATTATGTAACTGCCAAACTACTGAGAATCAGGGCCCAGCCAGGTTAATACATAACCTTAACCATCACAGCCAGAGTTACTCTCACCTCACACCTCAACGTTTGTTACTGCCAAACGTTCGTCTTTAACGCACAAAATAGATGGACAGTAGATTTTTTATTATTGTCATCAATGTGAGATGTCAGATAACGAGATCGTCGATAAGTGAGGAATAGGTGTACTAGATTGTGGTTTCCAAATCTTTAGGGAAAAGGTTTCTGATGTGGTGTGGTTTTTGTGTGTGTGTGTTTTCATGGCATGGGAGGAGATGTAGTAGTAAAATCCCTGAATGGAGAAGAATAAATGCTCCACTGAGTCTTCATTACTTTTCTCCAGGGAGTCCACAGAGTGCACGTGTTGGTGGCAATAGGTTTGGAGGTATACCAGGTAAGGCTTTGGAATTTACTGTTGATCCTAACTTTGGGAGAAAGAGGTCTGTGGACTAGAGTCTTCTCAAAGGCAAACCCTTCATTTCAATTACCTTTGCCAGCTCAGAACCTAGCAGAACCTACAGTGCCTGATGCATGTAGGTGCTCTTGTAGAATGAAAGACTAAATGAGCTCCGAGCTCTAAAATTTAATAATTCCAAAAAGATCAAATAGAGAAAAATAATTACTGAAAAGCAAACTTTACTTTTTCTTAACTAAGTTATCAGCAGTTTTTTCATCTATGATAAGCAGGTGAGTTTTCTAGGACATGCTCTCATTTTCTTCTGAGATCATTTTTCTACCTGTATTTGACACTCCAATTTCTACGGAGTATATCAGTGTTATTATGGGAACAGGGGAAAAGTACTACTCAAAGCTTTGAGGAATGATCCCTGATTCCTATGAGAAAATATTTCCCTTTTGGTCCTAACAGTCTAAGCATAGTTAGTTTTATTGCCCGTTGTCATTCCTACTTTGGCAACATTGATGGCAGACCCGTAACCAGTAGAAAACCCACAGCCGATGAGGCAGACTTTCTCCAGAGGCGAGGCTGGATCGATCTTGACCACTGAGATCTCATCCACCACCGAGTACTCAGAGAAGCTACTGGTGCCAACGAAGTGGTGGATAGGCTTCCCTCTGCAGGTGAACCTGGTTGTGCCATCCTCCATGGTCCCCCGAGGTACACTCACACTGTACAGTGCAACAGAGACACACACAAGGCATAAGCCAGGAGCATAGGGGACGTGCAAACTCACTAGGTGTGCAAGGATAGTATCAGAAACCTACTCATTTTTCAAGCAGAAGTTGCCTTCTGGGTGTTTACAAACTGCACATTTTCCACACTGGGGAACAGGGAGCGGGATGACTTTATCACCTGGAGGGGAATAAAAAACATTCTTAAATTTCTACCCAAGTATTAACAGATCAAGTACTTCAAACTTAGGCATATATATTAGAGGCATGTATCTTTGCCAAGTCTGCCAAGAAAGAGGATTCAATCGCCACCATGCCAGTGGTCACTGCCTGTAAAAATTGCTTTTACTTTGGGTTTATATGTGCCTAAAGAGTCCCAAAGAAGAAATACAAACCTGGGAAACAACATGGCCTTTTAATCATTTCCACTCTATTAAATAGTTATCTTTAATTGTGTAACTAGCTGTCTACTAGGGGTTTTACAAACATCCTGTCATTTAGTTCTTAACTAGTTAAACCTCAGATGTTCTCACTGTAAGTATAAATATAAATTTTAGCTGCAAGTGAGCTGCTGTAATTCCATTAGATGTTCTGGAGATCAGGCATTTTGCAATAGTTTGAACTACGTTCAAAAAAGAATTTTGATAATTATCATCCACAGAATTTCTTGACTCTTCAGAGTCACTATGCTTATCTTTACTCTAAAGTGAATGCTTATTTAATTTATTTATTTTGTTCTTTTTCAAGGAAAACTAACAAGAATGGGACAAAGAAGAATTCAAGAAATTCCTTGGAAAGCCTCATTCCTCAGCAGTGAGGCAAGTACTTACCTGTAGGATAAAAGCTGACTTTCAAATGTTTCTAGCCAATTACTTACTTTGTGAATTATCCATTTTTTCTCTTATGGTGGAGGGAGCAAGTGTCTAAAGTAAGAGTGTCATTTTATAATTAGTTGTTTTCTAACTAAAGGAAATACTAAGAGCTGAAACTCAAACCAGACAATTTACTTTTTTCTGTTCATAGTTCAGTTAAATATTTGGTCAGTGAGAGTAGGGTGGGGTTGGGGGGTATGGGTGAATCTTCTGGCTAAAGTGATTTTTTAGCATTAAACATAATTTTTATTTTTAATCACTTTTGCAATCTATTCACAAGACCAGGAAAAACTGTTAAACCATCGTATGTAATTGATATACTTTCTGTGAAAACGACAGCATAGACATTTTCTATTTTATTCAACTAGTACCTCTAAAAATATTTGCCTACATTAATACACAATAAAATTAGGATAAAATAAATATTAAAAATAAATGAGGCAACAATTTGTAATGAGCTAAAGTTAACTATGGTTCAGTGTAATAAAAGAGACAGTTTATGCAGGTTGCCTGCTGTTAACCAAATAAAAAAGAAATAAACAGTTGCCATGGAGTTGATTCTGACTCATGGTGACCCCATGCAGGGTTTTTAAAGGCTGATTTTTCGAAGTAGATCATCAGGCCTTTCTTCCAAGGCACCTCTGGAATGACTCGAAAGAACCTCATGTTGAGTCAGCCATACCCTAACAGCCCCCACCCTGTAAACTGAGCAAAGAAAAGTTTCCATACACTGTTCCAGACACTCAGGACACAGAGTTATGTTTTATTCCTGGTCTTATTTGTAGTTCTGTTTGGTCCCGACAGAAGGC